GGGAGGGGAGGGGCCTCAGCACGGTGCAACGCCACAGAGACCGCCCTTCAGAGTGGCCATTTTCTCCAGGGGGAGCTGATTTCTGTCAGCTGGAGGTCAGTGATAGAAGCGGGAGGTCTCCAGGCCTCACCTGGAGGCAGTGGCAACCCTACATGTCCACCAGGGGAACTGAACTCTGACACCTGGAGATCCACAGTGGTATTTGTGGGAGATCTCCAGACGCCACCTGGAGGTTACAAAAGTAGAGAGATCACGGGACAGGTTGTCAAACAAAAGATACACACCACGAAAAATGATGAAAATGACAAATTACATGAAGAAGAAGAAGAAGAGATTGGATTTATACCCCGCCCTTCACTTGGAGTCTCAAAGCGGCTTACAAACTCCATTCCCTTCCCCTCCCCACAACAGACACCCTGTGAGGTGGGTGGGGCTGAGAGAACTCTGACACAAACTGCTCTTTTCCAAGGACAGCTGTGCCAGAGCTTGTGACTGACCCAAGGTCACATCAGCAGGTGCAAGTGGAGGAGTGGGGACTCAAACACGGTTCTCCCAGATTAGAGTCCTCATACTTAACCACTACACCAAACCATTGAATCTACGTAATGCGATTCGTATCTCCGTTTCTATGTACCAACCGTCCAACAGTCTTTTAGTGGGTCCCTTATAAACTGCTGACTGCAGTCGCATTCCTATCATTCAAGAGGTGAACTCCCATCTATTCCAACCATCAAATCTCCTTGGGATGATTTGACCTTGCCGAGGTTGTCAGCTGACTTCTCTTCCGTTCTCTGCTTCCTTGAAGCTCACAAACAACACTCCAGCGGGCCATCTGTAACGCCCGTTTCACAAACACAACTCCAAGGGGCCAGCTGTAATTCCTGTTTCGCCAGCTGGTTTGGTGTAGCGGCTAAGTGCGCGGACTCCAATCTGGGAGAACGAGGTTTGATTCCCCACTCCTCCACTCGCAGCTGCTGGGTGACCTTGGGCAAGCCATAGTTCTGTCAGAGCTGTCCTTGAAAGAGCAGTTTCTGTCAGAGCTCTCTCGGCCCTGCCTACCTCACAGGCAATGTTCCCTCTAAGATGTGGAGTCTTGTGAGCAAAAATTCTTCCTTGTGAACTATGGGCATTAAAATTGTGAGCGAGCGATTTGCCTACTGCATAAGTCAGTTTGCTCTGGAGCCATCCTTCCTGAACTAAGACAAAAAAGTGTGAGCCGGAGGCTAAAAAACTGTGAGCTGGCTCAGACTAACTCAGCTTAGAGGGAACACTGCTCACAGGGTGTCTGCTGCGGGGAGGGGAAGGGAAAGGAGATAGTAAGCCACTCTGAGACTGAGTGAAGGGTGGAGTATAAATCCAATCTCCTCCTCTTCCTCCTCTTCTTCATGGGAAATCGTGAAATACAAGCTTCAAAGATTCATCCAATTAAGGGTGGGTGGTTAATCCTAGGTGTCCCGAACAGCAATAAGTGCCAATACTTTTCTCGTCAACACCATGCTCTGAACCACTACGCCAAACTGGAGGGCCGCCCCCTGTTGGAGTAGGCAATACTGACGCTGATGAACCAAGAGTCGTGTGGTGCCCGTGTGTTCTTTCTTTCCCAGGATCCTCCTCCTCCTCCTCCTCCCATTCTCTCCGCTATTTCATGATGGCCGTCTGGGAGCGGGGCTGGCAGCGGCCGCTCTCTAGCTCTTTGGGGTACGTGAATGACCAGCTCATCGGACGCTACAGCCAAGAGACCGGGCAGTGCACGCCGCAGTCGCCCTGGCTAGAGCAGATCAGCCACCACGACACCAACTTCTGGGCCAGGAGCACGGGGTGGGACTTTCCCTCCAGTTTGGTCGTGGATCTGATGGCCCTGAAGGATCTTTACAACCAGAGCAGGGGTGAGTGGGGGGCAGGGGGTGGGACAGACAACGTCCTCCGCAAATTACTGTGCTTCGTTTCTGGTTCTTTAGACTTCTGATTGGCTCTGCAACCCAGATCCTATTTCATTGGTTATTGAATGTCCCATCCTGTTGATTGTTCATTGAATGTCCCATCCCAAGAGCCAGTTGGGTGTAGTGGTTAAGAATGCAGACTGTGATCTGGGAGAACCGGGCTTGATTCCCCACTCCTCTGCATGCAGCCAGCGGGTGCGACCTTGGGCCATTCACAAGTTCTCTCAGAGCTGTTCTCTCACGGGCAGTTCTGGGGAGAGCTCTCTCAGCCCCACCTACCTCACAGGGTGTCTGTTGTGGGGAGGGGAAGGGAAACGAGATTATAGGCCGCTCTGGGACTCTGGGTGAAGGGCGGGGTGTAAAGCCAATTTCCTCTCCTCTCTTCTTGTATTGATTCACTCTGTATAACCTGCCTTGAGTGCCAGTGAGAGAGGCAGACTATAAATAACATTTTTAAAAAATTAAAGAACGTTAGATTGGGGAAAAGGAGTATAGTGTTCAGTTCCTCTTCATATTATTTATTTATTTACTTTATTTATGGTCCCACCTTTTTCACTGAGACTCAAGAAGACGGACTACGAAATTTAAAAATAATGCAAGAGAAACAAGTCATACAACAAGCAGTGCGATGATTGTTCCTCATTGGGACAAAAAGTCCCCGCTTCAAGTCTGGGCTGAAATGTTCCCTTTAACCTGTGGGGTCTTGTAAGCAAGAATTCTACTTTGTGAGCTACTGGCATGAAAAGAGTGAGCGAGCGATTTGGCTACTGCAAAAATCATTTTGCTCTGGAGCCCTCCTTTCCAGAGCTAAGATAGAAACGTATGAGCCGGAGGCTAAAAGACTGTGAGCTGGCTCACACTCACTCAGCTTAGAGGGAACACTGGTCTGAACCTGCTGAGATTGAGAGGGGAAAATGCCTTGGGTTCGTCGTGGAGAGCTCTAGGAAAGTGTCCACCACAGTGTGCTGCAGCGGTGAAGAAGGCAAACTCTGGGTTAGGGATCATGAGGAAAGGGACTGAGAATTAAAACAGCCACTCTTGTAATGCCCCCGTCTAGATGGATGGCGTGGCCTCCTTTGGAATACTGGGTACCGCTCTGGTCCCCATATTTCCATAAGGTCATTGCAGAGCTGGAAGAAGTCCAGAGGAGGGCAACCAAGACGATGAGGGGGTTGGAGCACCTTCCCTGTGAGGAAAGCCTGAAGAGTCCGGGACTTTTCAGTTTAGAAAAGAGGCGATGAAGGGGCAACGTGATAGAAGTTTAGAAAATTATGGGTGGACGGAGAGAACTGACAAAGAGAACTTCTTCTCCCAAAATAGTAGAACTCAAAGGCATACAATGGAAGGGGTGGGCAGGATGGAGAGCCAGTTTGGTGCAGTGATTAGGAGCGCGGACTCTAACCTGGGAGAACTGGGTTTGATTTCCCACTCCTCCACATGCAGCTGCTGGTGTGACCTTGGGTCAGTCACAAGTTCTTCCAGAGCTGTTCTCTCAAGAGCACTTCTCAAGGGAGCTCTCTCAGCCTGTCAGAGCCCCACCTACCCTGCAGGGTGTCTGTCGTGGGGAGGGGAGGGGAGGGGAAGGGAAAGGAGATGGTAAGCCGCTCTGAGACTCCGAGTGAAGGGAGTCCAAGACCGATTTCGCACAAGGAGCTGTGCCGCGGTCACCCCTCCCTTTGCCCCGTTTCCATTGGTCAATTTCCCACTCGAAGCCGCGCGGGCTCACTTTGACCCGTGGCTTTGCCCGATTTTGCCCGCGGTTTCGTAATCCTCAAAAAACAGGACCATGAAACTGCGGGGAAAATCGGGCGAAGCTGCGGGTCAAAATGCGGCTGCGTGGCTTCGAGTGGGAAATTTACATGTACCATGGGGCAAAGAGAGGAGCAAGCGCAGAGGAGCGGCTGTGGGAAATTGGTCCAAGTCAATCTCTTCTTCTTCTTCTTCCTCTTCTTCCTCTTCCTCCTCCTCCTCTTCCTCCCTCCTCCTCTTCTTCCTCTTCTTCCTCCTCCTCCGGCCATCACAACCTCCTCTGGCAACCTTTCCTTTTGTCCACTCTGAACCTGCTTTGCCAGAGGGCCCTCGAGTTCTAGTCTTTCGGGAGAGGGAGAAAATTTGTTCTTTACTCCACTCCCTCACTCTGAATCCTCAGGCAGTCTTTTCTAGTGTTGTCGTGTAGAAAATATGGGTGGGGTGGGGTGGAACCTTGCCTGACCCCATGGGAGATGCCAAACAGCGCCCCCTTCTGGAATCGAGCCGCCAAGTAAGAGTCGAACCACTGAAGCCTGGTGGGTGATCCCAACTCTGAACTTGCCAGCATCTCCAGGAGGATATCGAAAACTGCTGAGGGGTCCCGGCGAATTAAGAGTAGCTCCCGACTAATTTGCTCAGCTTGGGCCTGAGCAGGAAGGTTTCTGTACATATCCCTGGCCTCTTTTTGTTTTCAATTTACAATTTTTATTTTATTTCAACTTAAACAAAACACAAACTTTTATGACTGTCAACAACAATGGAACTCAACAAGGTAACTACATAAGTTTATACGGATTTCGAAATAGATTCCATGTGGTGAAAAACGTCATAATACTTTTTAGGAACATTGAATTTAGAGAACTCAGTATTAAACATATATTCAAGAAAAGGGAACCATTTCAGATGAAGGTTTCTTACATGTGAGATTTGTATTAACAGTTACCTCGGATATTTTATCCATGGCATAATAATCCCATATTTTCAAACGCCATGAAGACACTAATAACCTATTTGGGGACTTCCAACTACTGGCAATGATAACCTTTGCAGCCGTTAATAAAACTGATACGAGGTCTTGCCTAAATATCCCTGGCCTCTGAGGCCTCTGCTTTGGGTGCCTTCTCCAGGGATTCACACCCTGCAGGTGATTGCCGGCTGCAAGCTGAGCGAGGACAGCCGTACCCCCAGAGGGTTTGTGAGGTACGGCTACAACGGAAGGGACTTCCTCAGCCTGGACTTGGCGACTCTCGCCTGGACGGCGGTGGACGCAGAGGCCAAGCCCATCAAGAGGAAGTGGGACGCCGAACGGGACCGAGGGAAACTCTGGGAGCACTTCCTGACCGACGTGTGCGCGGAGGGCCTGCATACACATCTGCGCTACGGGAAGGAGGAGTTGCTGAGGATCGGTGAGACGGGGAAATGGGACGGCGAAGGAATCTCTCCCCACTCCCGAACATACGATTGCCACGAAAAGAAGTGGCGGATGCTGGGCAGTACCACAGCAGAGAGCCGGTGGGAGGTATTTAGAACTGCTGCCAATCTTCATGGAATAAAGTTTGTTTCTAGATTCCCCCTTCAGCGAAAAAAATAATAAAAATTCCCCAAGGAGGTTTGCTATTAATTTGTGTAGAATTTCTGAGAGCCAGTTTGGTGTGGTGGTTAAATGCGCAGACTCTAATCTGGGAGAACCAGGTTTGATTCCCCACACCTCCATTCGCAGCTGCTGGATGTCCTTGGGCAAGCCGTAGTTCTGGCACAGTTGTTCTCTCAAGGGCAGTTCTGGAAAGAGCTCTCAGCCCCACCTACCTCACAGGGTGTCTGTTGCGGGGAGAGGAAGGGAAAAGAGATTGTAAGTCGCTCTGAGACTCCAAGGGAAGGGTGGGGTATAAACCAAATCAATCTCCTCCTCTCCTCCTCCTCCACTTGCACCTGCTGGGTGACCTTGGGCAAGCCATAGTTCTGGCACAGCTGTTCTCTCAAAGGCAGTTCTCTCAGAGCTCTCTCAGCCCCACCTACCTCACAGGGTGTCTGTTGTGGGGAGGGAAAGGGAAAGGTGTTTATAAGCCGCTCTGAGACTCCGAGGGAAAGGTGGGGTATAAACCCAATCAATCTCCTCCTCAACTTGCAGCTGTTGTGTGACCTTGAGCAAGCCATAGTTCTGATAAGAGCTGTTCTTGAAAAAGAGCCATTTCTGTCAGAGCTCTCTCAGCCCCGCCTACCTCACAGGGTGTCTGTTGCGGGGAGGGGAAGGGAAAGGAGTTTGTAAGCTGCTCTGAGACTCCGTGTGAAGGGCGGGGTATAAACCCAATCTCCTCCTCCTCCACTTACAGCTGCTGGGTGACCTTGAGCAAGCTATAGTTCTGTCAGAGCTGTTCTTGAAAAAGGGCCGTTCTCAAGATAGCTCTCTCAGCCCCACCTACCTCACAGGGTGTCTGTTGCGGGGAGGGGAGGGGAAGGGAAAGGAGTTTGTAAGCTGCTCTGAGTCTCCCAGTGAAGGGTGGGGTATAAATCCAGTCTCTTCTCTTCTGTTCTCTTCCTAAATTTAGTAGAACAGATAAAATGGATCATCCTGCAAGTTGTTGTTATTGCTCAGTCGCACAGTTGAGTCCGACTCTTCGCGACCCCATGGACCCTGCAAGTAGAAAACTATAAAGCCAGGAGAGGACTGAACTTTTTTTACTGCACTTCCTCTTACAGTGGTACAGGATACACTAGAGAGCAAGGGTCACCAACGTGGTGCCCTTTGGGCACCGCAGTACCTGCCGGCCCTTTCCTGGTTCCCACCAAATGTTTTCAGAACGTGGGGGGGGGGATCGGGGGGGGTGTTGCCCACCACGGTTACTAGTTGGCCATTGGTGACCTGTGCAAACTAAAATAACGTCACTTCGGCGACAGCTGCCACCAGAGCACTGGTTTTGTTTTCTCGCTCGTCTTTCCCCGTGCGTTTTGTTTCATCTCCCTTGCGCTTGGGTTTCCTCCAGGTGGTGTGTGAGGGGCTCCTCCTCCTGCAGCAGCCGTTTTGTGGCTGTGTGCCCACCACCCCATGTCAGAGTTTCAGAGATGCCCACAGGCTCACAGATTTTGGGGACTGCCACAGGAAGTGGTGGCGGCTACAAGCACAGACAGCTTCAAGAGGGGACTAGATAAACATATGGGGCAGAGGTCCATCAGTGGCTCGTAGCCATAGGGTATAGATGGGGCAGTGATGCTCTGTATTCTTGGTGCTTGGGGAGCAACAGTGGGAGGGCTTCTGGAGTCTGGCCCTGCTGGTGGACCTCCCGATGGCACCTGGGTTTGGGCCACTGTGTGACACCTGGGTTTGGGCCACTGGCCTGACCCAACATGGCTTTTCTTACGTTCTTCTGTGCAACTTCTTTTTTGAGATACAGTGACCAGAACCCTCGTGGAAGCTGTCTTTCAGCTCTGAGGGAAGCTCAGAAGTTTCTTTCTGTGGAGGCTTTCGTCTCCTTGGACTGCTGGAGGTGGGGGGGGGGATGCCCCATCTCAGGACAGGACTACATCTGTGGGTCCCAACTTTTTTGTTATGGTGACCCACAAGGGGAAGGAGACTGTAAGCCACTCTGAGACTCCTTTGGGTAGTGAAGGGCGGGTTATAAATCCAGTCTCTTCTTCCCAGGCACTAGTCCTCTGCTGGTGTAAGTTTTCCTTCCAAATCCCCTGTTAGCCAATCACAGGGCCCAAAGGGTGACCTGGGAAAAGAAGGCCCTGTAGTCACTCTAGGACAGGCTTCCCCGGGGCCACTAGGCCTCCCTCGAACCTGTAGGCCGCACTGCACCACTACAGGCCCAGGATCATGACAGGGTCCAACACTGGTTGTTTTCACAGACCCGCCGAAGGTGCGCGTGACTCGCAAGGCAGGACCAGAGGGCCGGGAGACCCTCGTCTGCCGACTCCACGGCTTCTATCCCAAGGAGATTGAGGTCACCTGGAGGAAGGACGAGGAGTTCTGGCACCATGACACTTTCCACGGGGGTGTCGTCCCCAACTCGGACGGGACGTACCACACCTGGCTCAGCGTCAACGTCGACCCCAAAGACAGGGGCCGCTACCGATGCCGCGTGGAACACAATGGCCTGCCGGAGCCCCTGGATGTGGCCTGGGAGGAGCCTGGTGAGTGACTGGGGAGTGGCGGTGGAAGGCGTGGCTCCTTTGAGGGGGAGGGGGGAGATCATGGGAGCTTCATGCAGAGTGGAAGGAGGGACAAAGTCAGGGCCGGATTAAGGCCGACTGATGCCCTAAGCACAGCCCAAACAGCGGTGCCCCTCGGCCCCTCCATCACTTGACTGACACGACAGAAGAGAAACTCTTGCACCATGAGACGGAAACCAATGTGAAGTCTGACAACACCTTTAAAGTCGAACATGGCAGATAAGGACAGTGACAAAAAAAATAGACTACAGTCGAGTGTGGCAGTGAAAGAGGTGAGGGGGTGACAACTAGGAGGGGGAATTCTGCGGTGCCCCCCCCTCCATGCAACAGTGATCCATGCGATGGTCACCTCGAGACTAGACTACTGTAACGCTCTCTACATGGGGCTGCCCTTGTCGCAGATCTGGAAGCTGCAGCTAGTG